CGTGCACGCACTGACACATCTTCTATCCTCTTCCCTCTGCCCCAACCACACACACACACACACACACCACACACACACACACACCCTTGCATTGTCTCAGGTCACCGCCAGAGCTGCTGCAAGAGATTGTTCTTGTTGACGATGGCAGCGACAAGCCCTGGCTGCAGCAACAGCTGGAGGATTATGTGAAGTTATTGCCAAAAGTGCGCCTCGTTCGCCAGCCGCACCGCTCGGGTCTCGTCAAGGCCAGGCTCAGGGGCATTAAGGTGTGCAGTGTGTGGTGTTGTGTAGTGTGTGTGTGTGTGTGTTCTTGTGTGTGTGTGTGTGTGTGTGTGTGTTCTTGTGTGTGTGTGTGTGTTCTTGTGTGTGTGTTCTTGTGTGTGTGTGTTCTTGTGTGTGTGTGTGTGTGTGTGTGTGTGTATGTTGATGTGATTTGTTCGTGATTGTGCATATTGATACGCATGATTGTCAAGTGGCCCACCGTGTTGCTCATGCATCACCTTCTCCCTCACCTTCTCCACACCACAGGAAGCGCGCGCCAAGACATTCATCGTTCTCGATTCCCACATCGAGGTGTGACAAAGCGGTGGTAGTGTGCATTTATTGTGTTTATGTCGATATGTGTGGTGTGTGTGTGTGTGTGTGTGTGTGTGTGTGTGTGTGTGTGTGTGTGTGTGTGTGTGTGTGTGTGTGTGTGTGTGTGTGTGTGTGTGTGTGTGTGAAGCAGGCCGCCCTCACGCTCCCTGTTGCGCACGATCTCACCATACCACTATCCCACCGCCGCGTCATGCCTGGTGTCGCCACTATCAGGTTCAGCCCGGGTGGCTCGAGCCGCTGATGCACAACCTCGCCGAGGGCCGCAACAAGATGGTCATGCCCCAAATCGACAGGTGCAGCCGCGGTGGTCGTGGTCGTGGTTGTGGTTGTGGTTGTGGTTGCACGCGTGTTGCGCATCGTTCTCGTTTGCAGCGCACTTGAACCGCCGCACACAATCACACGAGCGTGTGCACATCATCATTGTTGTCGCGCCTTGTTCATCCACTTTCCCTCTTCCTCACACATCCACATGCACATGAACACACACACACACACACATGCGCAGCATCAATCCCGAGACGTTTGTGCCGCAGGCGGGCGGAATCGGCTGCTCTCTCGGTTTCCTCTGGACGTTAATCGAACATGGAATCCCGCTGCAGGAACAAGAAAAGAAACGCAGGGCAGCAGGTGTGTGTGTGTGTGTCTGTGTGTCTGTGTGTCTGTCTGTCTGTGTGTCTGTCTGTCTGTGTCTCTGTCTCTGTCTGCGTGTATCTGTCCGTCTGTCCGTCCACTTGCTCACCCCAAATCGCCACCACCACCCCCTCAAATCACGGTCTGCGGTGCAGAGACGGACGCGATCCGGTCGCCGACGATGGCGGGCGGTCTCTTTGGCGGACACACGGACTTCTTCTGGGAGATTGGCGGTTACGACGAGGAGTGGGGCTTCTGGGGCACAGGTGAGAGAGAGTGTGTGTATGAATATATATGTGTGTGTGTGTGTGTGTGTGTGCTTTGTATTTCGCTGGCACCATCCTCCCCCTGCCTCATCGACCCGTTTGCTCGTCCATTCACCATTCAACCTTCCCCTTCCCCTTCCCCTTCCTTCACCGTGTGCAGAGAACCTTGAGCTGTCCTTCCGGCTGTGGCTGTGCGGCGGCGTGCTCGAGTGCGAGCCGTGCTCTCGCGTCTATCACATCTTCAGGAAGGGCGGTGGCGCTTACAGCCTCCCAGGTGACACACGATGCGTGTTCATTGTGTGTGTGTGTGTGTGCATGTGTTTGTGTTTGTGTTCGTGTTCGTGTCTGTGTCTGTGTCTGTGTGTCCTGTTCTGTACACCTTTTGTGCGCCCTTGTTGCGTCCATTTTACCTCACAAGGTACTCATCATCATGCGACCACGATGGCCGTGCCTGTGTCTGCTCCTTTCCCCTCCATTGCCAACACTACTGACACTGCTGCTTGCAGGCAACCACGTGGTGAAGAATAAAATGCGCACGGCCATCATCTGGATGGACGAGTTTGCATACATCGTCGAGGTGCGTTTGTGTTTATGTGTGTGTGTGTGTGTGTTTGCGCGCACGCGTGTGTGTGTCTGTGTGTGTGTGTCTGTGTCTGTCTGTGTGTCTGTCTGTCTTGTGTTCTTAGACAAGCGTGTTGTACTCGTGGCATTGACTTTGGTCTGGATTTGCACTCGCACGTCTGCCATCCCTTCATCGGTCATTGCATTGCCTGCTGTGTGAAAACAGGAAGCGCTTGGCCATCCGAAGATTGACATTGGTCCTCTCGACAAGATGCTCGACCTCAAGGAGCGGTGCGTTCATCGCAATCGCAGCGCAATGAGCCTGCTCGTGTGTCCATGTGAGTGTGTGTATGTGGAACAAAGTTGTGTGCATGTACGAGACCCGTGCTCGCTTTCCGGCTCCGTTGTTCACGTGCTCACCACCAGCGCCATCAACACCACCATCA